AGGCTGGGGAAGCGCCCCGGGAGGGGGGGGCTCAGGTGCCGGGCTGCCGCGTGGGGCACGACCCCCTTCCTCTGTGCCCCCCGCCTGGGGGGACAGTTATGTGTGTGGGGGGCTCTGGCCTGCCCTCCGCCTGGAAACACCTGTCCCTCCTGTGCCAGGGCTGCTTGGTTCTGAGTTCTTTCTGAGCTCGCCGCAGGGAACCGCGGGGATATCCCTGGTTTCTGGAGATTTCCCTGGGGATTCCCGGCCTGTGGAGCAGAATCTCCCGCCTGGTCACGCTGGCCGGGTTTTCTAAAAACGCCGCCTTGGCCACAGCTGCCCTGGAACTTCAGAGCGGTCACTTGGGGGATGATTTCACCAGAGGCGGCAAGGACAGTGTCATTACGCTCGCAGGTTGTAAGGGTTCCCTTCCCTCCCTGGGGACCGGCGCTGCAAAAGAGGAACACTAGCGTGTTTTGTAACTGTTGCTAAAGTCATAGAGACGGAGAAACTCATTTTGAGAGACTTTCAGAGATGTGGTGACTCAGAAAAGTGTGCGAGGGAGAAGAAAAACCACCACCAAACTGAAGTGAAACTGCAGGAAATCATGACTCTATCTCCCCGGGGGGACTTGGCCTCCCTGTCTTCTCCTCACTACCTTGGCCACAACCGCTACCTTATGTTGGGTTAATTTGTGAATTTAGCATTTCTCTGGCTTTAGAAAGACCTTTCTAAACCGGCTAAGTTCTTCCTGATACCTCTTTCTGGCCCCCCCCGAATCTTTTTCTAAGAAGAAAGCAGCTATTGACTGTTCTTATTCAGTATTTGTTTTTAGCCACCACAACACTTACACTCATTTGAAAAAGGTATCAGGTCAGGGTGCTTGAGCGAAGTGTAATTGGTTCTGTAAGGTTCCAGCTCTGGTGTCTTTAGAACTAGAAGGTCATCCACAACCCATACTGCCAGGGGAGAAAACGTGGTCAAGTATCCCTTCGCTGTTGTTTATTTAAAATGGGAGAAAGACAGGTGGCTTATTTATATTATAAAAGAGCTTATTTATATTATAAACTAAGCCAGCCTTAGTCTTACACGTTTGGCTGTGGGCTTGTTGTTTCCACCAGTGTGCAGGGGACTGAAAGAACAATGCAGAAGAACATAGTGTGAAGGGGCTTGCACTGAGTTATCGGCAAAACATGTTTATGGCACTTATTTGATAAGACTTCGCCTCACTGAAAATCTTAAAAGCACCTAATGTTGAAGCACGGCCATCAACAGTCATCACTGGGAGTCCCAGCCACGAGAGGGATTAACTTGCTTGAAGAAGACCTCAGGGTCATGGTTATTGTTTGTTGTTGTTTTAATCTTCACCTGAGGATATTTTTTCCATTGCTTTTCAGAGAGAGTGGAAGAGAGAGAGAGAGAAGAGAGAGAGAGAGGGAGAAACATCGATGTGAGAAAGACACATTGATTGGTTGCCTCCCACATGCACCCCGGCTGGGGCCAGGATCCAGCCTGCAACCCGAGGTACATGCCTTCGGCCAGAATTGAACCTGGGACCCTTCAGTCCGCCCGCCGATGCTCTATAACCACTGAGCCAAACTGGCTATTGTTGATGCAGACACCGTACTCACGTGATAAGAAAATGTGTTATCTTTTTTTACACATAAGAAGTAGGAGATAGCTGAAAGCACGCAGGAAAGACTTGTGTAGCAACGGTCACTATTTCCCTCCAGTCTCGTTCATTTTTTATCTCTTTGTGCTTTGTTTGGGAGGGCACTTTGGAGGTATGTAGGGACAGAGGGAAGAGAAGAGTTAAAGTTAGAATACCTCCAGAGAAAATGAGACGTTGCCTCATTTGAGCATACAGGGCTTGCCAAAGAAGAAAGTGCATTGGAAAAATGCATCGTGTTGTGAATTGTTAGTGCATGAGCAAATGAAGGTCAGGGGCTGTGATTTTCTGATGGCTTGGAAGCCCAGATCCCTGAAAAATAAAAACCCATAACCCTGTCTTCACCACTTTGCCCATCCTTCAGCTCATATATTTCTCAAGCTACGATTTAATTGTAAGAAGAATGATTGAGAGCATGACAGGAAAGTTTAAAAACGATTTTATGATCCGTTTCTCATAAAGTAGCTGCCAGCGAAATAATATAGACTTGAAAGCTCTTGTAGTTGAGACAGTAAGTTTCTTTCAAGCTTGATAAACTTGCTAACATATGGAGAATAACTAGTCAGTCTATGCGGAGCGAGTTTTGTTAACTTAATCTTGTATGTGTTAGAAACAGCTGTCTGAATCAATATTTACTTTTAAGTGAATCATTTAAAAGCTGCCATTTGGTTTGTGTGCCTCAAAACTTTGTGTGAATAGTGATCTTTGTCACATGGATGTTTTGAAAGTACATTATTTCTTAGGATTTGGTAAATCTCTAGGTAAAGGGGTATCAGAAGTGTTAAGGACTTACTTCATTTCTAAAGATACTAGTTTTAAAAATTACTTCCACACTCATGTTTCTTACAACAAAGTTAATTTTTATTATTATTTTTTAAATGTATTTTTATTGATTTCAGAGAGAGGAAGGGAGAGGAAGAGAAGATAGAAACATCAATGATGAGAGTCACTGATCAGCTGCCTCCTGCACACCCCCGACTGGGGATCGAGCCCACAACCCGGGCATGTGCCCTGACTGGGAATTTCCAGTCTCTCTGAAAGCAATGGGAAAAATATCCTTGAGTGAGAATTAAAAAAAAGAAAAAAAAGAAAAACCTGAAAACTCTTCCACATACGTCCTATGGAGGGTCAGAAGGTACTGGAAAACCAGTGCTGCAGCAGAGAACTGTAGAGACACAGGTCCTGGGTGGGGGCTGCTGGGCACTTCTAGGCCTGGTAGCAGCAAACAGCCGTTAGGAAAACTGTTCTTTCCCGAGACTTACTATTGCATAGTCAGTCACACTTAACCTGCAAAGGGCCCATTGGCTTCCTCTGAAATGCTCCTCAGTGTTCTGACGCTTTAAGGTAAGAAATGAGTTTCAGCTTAAAAACAACATGTATTTCTCTCAGGGGAATTTTCTCAGGTATGTTCTGTAAGGATTAACGTAGGTGGCTAAATAAACTTCTGCGGGTAACAGTGTCTAGAGTCAAGTCCTCAGAAAGGTGGGAGGGAGCTGCACGTGTTTGCAGGCTTCTCAGTCCAGATGTGTAGCCCCAGTCCACACAGTTGCTTAGTCTTCAGTCTTGATTTGTTGGTAGGAGACAGGCACAGACCTGGTCTGATTTATCTGGATAATTACGACAAGGTTATCTGAGAGCCCGATTTATCTGGCTAGTAATGGTAGTAGGAAGTGGGTGAAGATTATACCATGAGTATTTCTTTCAGTTCCTAATTTGTAGAGATGAATGGATCCTCCTGAGAAACGAGCCATTGCAGCTCCCCAGATGTGAGTAGCAAGGATGGAAGAAAGAGGGAGAGGACCCAGGATAAATAATGCACCAACGGATATCGATCACATTGTATTTTGATTTCAAAAAAATGCCTTCAAGCACGCCAAACTACCGATGAAGATAGTGGGAGTTTTAAGTTAGGAAAATGATTGCAGATTAGGTATTTCTAGTGGCAATAATTACTTCTTATCACCTTTCGTTTTTGTGACTGGAAACCAAGATTTTAGGAATTTGGTGTGAATTGAGAATTTCTTAGGTTCAACAAAAATAAAGACACAAAACTGAGACACATTAACATTTTCTCTGTACTTGTGGAAGAAACAGTGACCTCTCCCTTCTTGGGTCACCACCATTCATGCTTTGATGAACTTGTAGAGTCAGATGTTAAATCAAGATCTGCCCTTGATGAAACAATTCTTTTTTCTATGGGCTTTAGCTGCAAGAAGACCACATCATCAAGGGTGGGTTAGTAATAGCAAGTCCTAACATGACAATAGTGATTTTAGTGGTTTTCATTTTTAAGTGAACTTTTGCTGTGGACTACTGAATTGATTGTAATTTCATTCCTTGTAATTGATTGTAATTGTAATCTTTGGGGTGATCTGAACTGGGGTCCCAGGTAGAAAGGGCAATAGCAGGAACTCAGTCTGTAACAGTAGTTTCTAATATAACTAAAATAAATACACTGTGAAAGTTTTACAAAATATGCAGTGTGAATTTGGCGGTAGATTTTAATCTCCTAAACAGAAATTTTAATTATTTTTGTTTTGGTCAGTGAAGCTAGGTGACACAGTTTAAAGAAACAAGGTACATATAACAGTTTGCATTGTAAAATGGGAACGGAA